CAAGATGATGCGGAGACTGATGAACACACACGGCATTCACAATCGTCTGGTGGTGTACATTTGCCGGACGGCGGACAATCGCGTTATTGACCACATACAGGCGGTAAAGGAGAATGTTGGTGGGCGAGGGCTGATTATGGTGCATTAGCTGCAGGAGAAAAGAAGGGAAAAACAGAGGGGTTCTTGTTGCGTCGGTCGACTCCTGAATTTTTTATGCATAAGCGAAAAAGTTTGAAGGAAGAGATAAACCATGGGGATTTGGACGGCCTTTTTTGATGTCATTGTTTTTAGTTCTTTTATTTATTTATTTATTTATTTATTTTATTTTATTTTATTTTTTTTGCCTTTTTTATGCCACTGAAGCCTGTCACGTGAATAACTGTCATTAGAAGCAAACACGGGGTGGACCTTGGGCCGTGAGGAATGGATCTTTTTCTTTCTGTGTCTCCTACGGACGACAGGCCGTTAGTGCCGCCGCAGCTGAGTTATCTCACCGAGCATGTTCTTACTCCATTTTATGATCTTGTCGTGCTTTATTATCCAGCGTCGTGGACTCCGAATAAAGTGACTTTGTTCGGAATTTTCATGACTCTTCTCTCATCGCTGCTGCTTCTCACGGGAATGCCGCCAACCACCCTGTTCGAGCCACCGTACGCCACCATCCGTCCCGCAAGTTTTCTTGGGGAGGATTCAAAGTGGCAGAACTTTTTTGGCCCCACTCCATTGCATCCAACGACGCTGCGTCCGCTTTGGAGCTCGATTTTTCCCTCTGGTAATTGGTTGTTGTTTACATGTGGCATTCTTAACAGCATTTATTGCATTGCCGATAACACCGACGGACGTCTTGCACGCCGACTGAAGAAGTCAAGTTGTATTGGTGAATATCTCGACCATGGTCTTGATTGTGTTACCTCGCTGCTTTCAACATGTGTTGCCTTGTCCGTTTTTGGTATATCATTTTCGAACATTTCACTTGCTGTTGTGACAGTCGCGATGGCCACAGTTTTCTCGCACACATTAAATTACGAGAAACACATTTTTATTTGGGGTAATAGATTTGTTTCCGTTGATGAAGCAATGATTTTTTTTTGTGTTGTACATTGGATTCCACTTTTGTTTCCAGGACTTGCCTCCGCAAAGGTATCCCCAGCTCTTTTGTATGCCGTGTTACCAGAAAAGTGGGCACATGCACTGCTGCCTCTCCGTTACGTTGAGGCCATTATGGTTATTTATTGGGCTTCTCAGGTGTATGTCATTCTGGACATAGCCCTCAAAAACTGGAAAATGATCTTTCGAATTACGACGTTGGCGCTGCTGTTGAACACTGTCCTGATGCTCGGCGTCATACCTTACCAAACGGCACAGTTAGTGAAGGTGGATCCTGCCGGATATGTGTGGGGCCCATTTTCATACGTGGCTATTTGGTTCATCACGGTCTCGTGCACCTCCAGTACGGTTGTTCACATTCTTATTTATTCTCACTGTGCTCGGTTGCCTCGAGTCGATCCAACGGCACTGGCGGGTCTTTTGTTTGTTTGGCTTGCCTTTATCAATTGCCCTGCTGCTGGTATGATGATATCTGTAGTGTGGCACATTGCACAAATTCTCTGCTACGTGGATGGCCTTCAAAACCGTCATCTTGAGGGGTCGCAAAAGGTGAAGGTGGTGTAGGAAAGAAGAGTGTGTGTGGACGAGAAGAGCGGCTCTAGCACAGCTGAGAGGCCGGAGAGGGAGGTCAGCAAGGGAAGAATAGGAGGTGACTTCAATGGATGGACCAAGCATGGGAGGCGTGAGGAAAAGATACGGGGAGTGGTGCTCATGTGGGGGTAATGTATGAGGCCCGCACCGCTAAAGATGCAAACTAGAGAACAGAGTGCAGCGGCGAAGAACTAAATGAGACACGGTGGCGCCGGGGGGAGGGTAGTATTGGAGCTGCAGTCCTGCAGGAAGAAGGTGCTCCCCTCACGTTTTGTGCTACGCACATCAAAGGGAAAAAAATTATTATTTTTTTTCTTTTGGTTGCCTTTTTTTTTTTTTTTTTTGGACGACGCTCTCTGAGAAGTGCCATGTACTGCGCTCCCTCCATTGGTGGTGTTGCTTGACTGCCCGCGTTTCATTATTTCATGTTTCAACTGACAAGGTAGGAAAAAGCGGCAAAGAAAGGAAAAAAAGAAGGAAAAAAGAAAATAAAACAAAACAAAAAAAAGGAAAAGAAAACACCGAACGAAAAAAGAAGCAGCCTTTTTTGTTGTTGTTGTTGTTTGTTTTCTTTTCTCAGGGATCGTGAATTCTGGACGCAATGGATTTATCTTCTATTGTTCTGGCACTTCAGGGGAACTTGGCTTTTTTGCCGCGTGCCGTGTCAGTGCTGTTCAACCACGCGAACCCGCTCTCGGAACGAGAGGCGGCAAAACTTTCCGAATTTACGAGAGAGCAGCAAGAGACGGGAGCACCGGTGGCTTCTGTGCCGGATAACATTAAACAACTCATGGAGAGACCGCTTCATCGTCTGTCCGCGGTTACTGTCATTCAGTGCATCTTGGGAGCTGCCAGGGTTCCAAGCCTCCCCGTAAAGTACCAGCGACGTCTCCAGCGACATCTTTTACCTCTTCTTTGTAAGAGTGAACTGTTATCACTGGAGGAATGGAGCCATGTTCTTCGTCAGACAGCAACGCTTCCAATGGGCCACTCTGCCATCCCACTGCGATGTGCAGAAGAGGTACTAAAGGCAGCGGCACCGGCTTTGTTTCTCTCAAAGAACAAATCTGCCGAAGAAGAATCCGTCAACGAGGTGCAAAAGTTATTTCTCAAGACATTTTCTGTGGTCGTTTCGCATTACGCCAAACGGTACACCAGATGTTTTCAGCGCTCAGCGACACAGAAAATGCCTACAAGTAAGAGCAATAACAAGAGGAATTTTCTATATTCTACTCCATTTAGGCGTCTCCAACGCATATTGGATGTGAATTGGGGGCACACCCGGGAAGCATGGTTGGAGATTGTTGAGACGTTGTCACCGGCGGAGGTCCTTATACTTTCGTTAGCAACACCATGGAATTATCCCATAAAGAATGGTACACTCATGCAGGTGTTGAAGGGCAGTCCAACGTTGTTGTTTCATCTTTTTTCCGACCGACCTTCCCCTGGTTCATTATGGGTTGAGTGCCCCAATGACGCAATACAAACTTGCATTTACAATATGGGGCTTACCAATTGCTCACGTGATAATGCATTGGATTACCTCGTTGTGCTTTTGGCGCTTTCTGGGGAGGACAAATTTGCATTTTTCAAGTCTCGTGGTATGGACGGATTTGTGCAATTGTTAACACCCTTTGTGAACAATGTCAAGACTTTGAACGTCGCTGTGGCACAGGAATGGCAAGAGCTTTATGCATTACTTTTTCTTCACATGAAAGCAGAGGAGGAGTTATTTCCTCTTTTTGTTCAGGCCGCTTCCGATGTTGTGGTAAACCGATGCCGGGCTGTGACTGAAAAGGCATCGATTATAACCCTTACCGCCTCCGTGATGCACGCCATGTCTGATGCCGCACGATCCAAGGCTGCAGCTGGAAAATTGACCCGCATGATTGAGCGGGAACTAGCAAGTCCTGCCGTAGACACTGCCGCTGCTGCTTGGAGACTTCTTCGAGAAGCTAGATTGGAGGAGGATGTTGCAGATGAGATACGCTCTGCATTAAAAAGCGTCAAGAACAATGAACAACTCCGAAGGGTTATGATAATACATATTTCCCCGCAACGAGCACCCGCCGATGTCATTACCTCTCTGATTGAGCCGCTTTTTGAGGAATGTGAAGAGGCAGAGGCGTATCGACCGGATGCGTTTTTGGCATTGCGCATCGCTGCACAGAGACGATTCAATGCGGTAGCAAAGCTGTGCGGCATTCTTTGTCAGGCAGATGTGGTGGCACAATTGGGTACGGTAGCGGATGAATTGAACGGTCTTATGGAAACGGCGGTGGCACTTGCCCAAATTAGTTTATTTGCTCCCATGGCGCTTCTCTTAACCCACAGAAGTGGATTACTGCGACAGCACCTTTCCTCGTATGTTGCCACAATTTCTACTGATGCAAGTGCCATCATCGCCCTTTGGGACAGCCTGACACGCACAGTGTTCGGGTTGGAAGCGAAGGAAAAGCCGAAGATTTTGTCCTCCAATGCCGTTGGGGCGCTCCTTACGGTGGCCCCAGCATTACTGCAGCACACCGCGAAGACGCCAGTATCGACCACGCTCTGCGAAGTTCTGCTTTGCTGTGGCCATGACCACATTCAAGGGACAGATCCGTACTATTTCCACACAAAGTCATTTCTTCTTGGCCGTCGGCGGACGAGTTCGGGGGTGGTGCAATCGCAAGTATTTGAACGACTCTTTGCCGGGGAACACGCACACCTGTTTAAACTGCACAGTGAGGCACTTGTCAGCAAAATCTGTGAGAATTTTAATGGTCCGACACATTTGGGTACGGCTGCCAGTCGTGGCTTGGTGCTGCTTTTGAGCTTTATCACCAGTCCCCTGTCATTGCAGCAAGCCTTTGAAAATCTTTTAGATGCCACCAAAAAATCGGTGGATTACTTGATCTCTCTTGATGCCCGTGACCGCGCCATTGCGGCCTCCTCCGTAACGGCGCTGCAAGAGTACGAAACAAAGGCCTTACGGGAGCGACAACTTCTCAAGACATATTCTGATAAACCACCCAAGGGAATGTCTGAGGACGACTACGAAGACATGAAACGAAGAGATGCGATTGCTCTTGAAAAGGGTCGAGAGGTGTTGCGCATAGAAATAGAGAAGCGGAGGCATGAGATTGAGGAGATGATACGGAAGAATAAGGTACCATTGGCGACGATTCGTACTCTTGGAGCTACAGGACGTTTTCCTATCGAAGGGGTAGCGGTACTTTATCCCTATCTTCAGGGCATTTTGAATCGCAACGATGTGCCGGAAGTACTTGAGCGTCTTATTGTAGATGCCATCTCAGGTCTGCTTTCAAAAACCATCTTTGCAGACATGGGGGAGAACATGGCGTGTACTGTGGCCCAGTTGCATGACAAACCATCTCTTACGGTTGGGGACGTGTCACGGCTCTCAACGATGTCGCTGCATCTGCGTCAGGCCATCACTCACATGATTCCTGCCCCTCTTTTTGTGGTATTGCTCCCTTTCTCACGGGTTGCGTTTAAGGCGGGTCGTGGAGGCAATGCCGTGCAGACGACCATTCCTGTTGCGACGCAGCACCAGATTATGGGTCTACTTTTGCAGAACCTCGGACAGCCTAAATTACCGCAGCCTACAGAAACACTACAACTACTTACCAACATTTTACAAAATTTTCCTTCACTCTTTAAGAGTGTGCAACAGGGCATTAATCTCCTGATGGCTCTGATTCCTGCGTCGAATCTCACAGCACTGGAACTCGGTCTTTTTAACCCCGCTGATGCTGTTAAGGAGGTGGTTGCTTCAGCATATCATCGATTTTCGCACTTCTTGACATGTCGTCGTGCATTGGTTTTGGCGGCAGTTTCTCTTCATGATTCTTCTCTCGAGGTGGTGAAGTCGATGCAACGTGTCACGCAAGATCCCGTGTACTCCTTCTCGCTCGATCCAATGGACTGGAATGATCTTCTTTACTTTTTGAGAAATTACGGCCAACACCAAGCATCACACGCTGTGCGTATCGGTGAGACTATGCGAGAACTCTTCTTACTGCCCTCGACGACTGTGGCACAGCAAAAGTTGTGGCTTGAAGACCTAAAGAAGATTGCTGGACAAGGTGCTATTGTATCTATTCAGGTTTTGTCTTCCTCATTGATGAATGATGCCTTTCAGGGCGTCCTGTTGTTTCTTTGCGAAATGGCAGAGTCTCCGAGCACGGAACCACTTATGCGACTTATCCTCTCATGTGGACGCGTGGTTCTGAATGACTGCGCTATCGATGTTCTCAAGTCATTGGCTCCAACACTTCAGACTCGCCTTGGCAAGCCACCTAAAGATCTCACCGATGCACACAAAGAGCTCTACTTTGCCACTTCTACAGTGTGGCTTACGATCATTAGTTGTCGTCTTAAAGAGACTGTGTTGTTGGAATCCATTGTCGAGCAACAGAGTAGCACATTAAACAAGTCAAGCTCGGCTATGGTGCATCGGGCTGTGTGTACATCTATGGTGGAGATTACGAAAAACGAGGAGGTGCGAGCTTCTCCAAAGTTGGATGAGTTTGTGGAGAAGTGTTTGAAACAGGTCATTCACGCCAGTTCATACATTAAGAAAAAAGCACATGCCTATGGTCTTGTGGGCGTTCTTCAGGGTTTGGGTCTTACTTCCCTTAGACGTTACCAGATTATGGAGATTATGAAAAAGGCCGTCAGTGAGAATCGGACAGAGCGGACGGG